AAGGTCCTTTCAAAATTCCATATATATATCTGACCATCTACTTTAGCCTAAAGAAAAGACACGTGTTTTCTCGGATGACGTAAGGAGAATTAGTATTTGTAATTATGAAATTGTTATTATATATAAAAAAAGAAGATGTGGTATGATTGGCAATGAGACAACTCTCCACAAGAGACCAAAAATGACACAGAAATTAACAACTATAGGTCGCCGTACGGCCTTCAACAATGAGCAAAGCCCATACCGCATTGTCAGCTCTAAAAGACCCCGACATGTTCATATTAATGATCCACTCTTTGAAACCTAACCTTAGTATGACGAAAGTGCTATATATAACGAAAACAGCGGGGAAATGGATTAAATAGACTTGCTTTATTGTATAAACTAAAAAAAGGTCGGAGTGGAACTAACCCCGAAAAATTCAGTCTCTCTCCGTAATCGATCTCTTCTTTATACTTGTTAATGAAATAATCGTAGATCAGCGGAATATAACGACTGAATTATTTGGGTAAGTGAAACAAGTAAATAAAAGTCAAAATTAACCATATGTAGTTCCATAAGGAGGGATCTGGACAGCCTGCCCCTAAATCAGCCTCCGAGTTGAGACATACGTATTGACCTTTCTTGGCGCACACACGGTTTTCATTGCCTATGTGTTTTTTTTGTACAAATAAATAATTTGATAATTAATATGCCTTCAATCCATTTTCTTCAGACATATTACACGTACATGAATCATGAATTTTCTACGTTTTTATAATTTTGAACACATAGTATGCCCTGGGATCTGACCTGAAATATACATGAAACATTGAAAATTCACGATAGTAAGGTATATAGGAGCAACATTTAAATTCAAAGGGTTAGGGGTTTGTTCTGAGTCGGAAATAATTCGGAACACAACGTTATTCCCCACTGCCATGCACCAAACATTTTTCTCTCGAAATAAACGGTATGGGGAATTCTGGAATTCCGATTTTTTTTGTCAACTGCCAGACCACAATATTTTTTTCTCTCATCAAATTGGGGATCAGAATAGGCCTCCAGATTTTGTTTGGAAAATTTGGTGTTCACCCCAAGAACCGGGTTGGCCACAACATAACAATTTCAATTTTATTTACAATTTACACGGTGTGCATATGTTTAAGTATGTTTAAATGAAGATATTTTCATATAGTTTAGGACTTTATTCATTATAGGTTGAAAAATACAGGCAAAGTTCAGATGTTTATGAAGTGTTATATATTTTGACTTTTGTGAAACCTTAACAGAATAGACAATTGGGGCAAATCTGATGAAAAAAAAAAACGAAAATTCCTAGTAACAAAAAATTAACCCACATAACAGCAATTGAAATCTCCTCCCCAAGAAATTGTACCTCAGGACCTGTATAATGCTGGAAGTATTTTAATATGCCTTTGGAACACCCTTTTAAAAAATTGGGTATGGTTCTCCAGGCCACGGCTTAGGTAGCACTTCACAGTTAGAAAATAAAATTAAAATTGAGCCACAGAATGTCTAATAATCTTCCAATCCTGGCCTTCAAATACATTAGGCCAACTGTACTAGCACCCCCTTTTTTCTGAGAAACCCTGGCTAGCACACCCTTCCTTTTTTCACAGTGTCTGGATCCGCCCCCTCATACTCAACTATGATCAACTGTAGGTCATAATAAAGGATGAAATACGTAACGTAAATTAATTCAAGCGTGAGGGGGCCCCATATATCACGGCTAAAATTGTACTTAGTTTGTCCTTTTATACAACCTTTTGGCAAGTACCACCATCCCAGAAATCAGTTACCACGATCTTTCAAAATTAACATGAACAGTAACCATCATCAATGTCCTTTTTTTTCACTCTCTCTATTTTCTAAGTAATGTACAACTGTTTACGCTTGTCAGCAGTGTTTATCATTGTTTTCATTAGTTTACAAGTTGTGACCTTTGAAATTGTTTTATTCAATGTTCCTATAGATTTTTATGGTAACTCCCTGTGCCCCTAAAAAACAAACAAAATAAAGTTTACCTCCCACAAAATTTTACACTTAAACGTTGATTTGAAAAAAAAACTTGATTTTATAATTTTGGTTATCAATTGAAATGAACCTTCTAGAGCCTCAACCTAACGCGCACAATAATGTCAATCATTACACATCAAATTTAACCCTAAATTGACATTCCACAATCGGTCAGTAACATCACCTGTGTTTATAGCTACATGATATTTCCCGCCGTTGGAAAATCTCGTGCAGTGACACAATTGATAAAATCTATTTTTAACATCTCTATTGTGAGCGAAATTTTTGACGTGCATTATTTCATTATTAAAAATGTTCGATCTACATTTGTTGCAGTCTAATTTTAATTAAAAGAAACGTAATATCATTTCTTTTTCTTTGGCAATTATAGTAAATTAATCTCATCCCGGAATGTATATTCACTTTACCATTAGACCTGAAAGTGATGTCTAATAAATGAAGAAACTGTGTTTCACATTAAAAAATTTAAGAATTTTATCGCTCAGGCATATTTATTTTATTTTAAGATGATTGATTGTTGGTTGCTTAACTTCCAGTGGCAAATACTCCATGCAAGTCCGGACAAACTTAGTTTTAAGATCGCACTTTCAAAAATCATTGTAAAACAAAAATGATCAGAAGAACTTTTATTCATGTGAAATAACCGTCCAATCTTTTAAATAGAACTTATTTACATTTCAAAGTGTAACAGATTAGTTTACAAGACAGGCATTGAGGTTAAATATACAATTCCTTGTATACATGTACGCAACTTTCATATCTTTTAAATTGAACTTTTTTGTCTAAAAAGACAACCCACGAGTTTGCGAAATCGAGTTTGAATGCACTGCATTGTGTGTAAATACATATACATATTATGCAACGACGGTCTGACTCTATGTAATACCAGGGTTGCGTTCAATATCGTAGCGGCTACGTAGTGCTATGTAGATTTTTACTATTGAACGTGTAGCTATAGATTAGCTGCTACATAGATATTGATAGCAACTACATAGCCGCTACGTAGCCGCTACGATCTTGAACTCAACCCAGTTGACCCCTGATACCAACTAAGGTTAATAAGACTTTCCCCTGGCCGTTCATTTTATTTTTGTTTCAATAAACGGTTCTAGAAGCAATTAAATGATCTGCGGCCTCTGACATATAATTAAAAAAAAGTAACCATCTAATCCCCAGATATATATAATCTATTTCTCTCTAAATTTACAGAAACATTATATGATATATTTTTGAAAATTCCTTATATCTCAAATGATTATAGTTACTTTGTTTTTAATTCTGTAAACATCTATATATCATAATTTGTACCACACTACAAGGATCTATTAATAACCGTCGCTCACGCATAACGGATTATACAACGACCTATTAATAACCGTCGCTCACGCATCAGTGGTTCTATCAATGACTCAATACACACCAGTTTTATCGGACAAACGGCTAATTCCCGCCGACACGGAAAATCTCCGGATAACATGCAAAATATCCTGTAATACAGCAAATTTACGATGAACCTCTAATTATTATCCGTTTCGCGGAGATTAGCCAAAAAACACCGGAGTTTTTACAAAAATCGCGGTGATTTTCCAAATAGGTCTGCCAGTGATGAAGACTTGTGTGATATCTGTACAAATTTCCCAGATTAAAAAGGTTCCCATTTCTAATATTGGAGATAATCAAATTCTTCAAAGGTTTTTTTTAAAATTAAAAATTTGATAAAATATAACAGAAATTAAACACGAAAAGAATATGCTATTCAGATGACAACAATAAATATAGACATTATCCAGGTGACAACAAATACAAACGTCAACATGAATGGCACTTTCCTAATGACAACATGACAATCAAAAACGATCTAGAACATGTGGTTTTAAATCACATTCAATAGGTGTATATCAAGTGCTCTCTTATGTTTTTGCTGTTAATTCAAAAACTTATGCCAAGAAAGTGACAAGATAAACACTACATTAATAATAAACTGTTGACACAGAGACATGTCTCGCGTGTAGACATAAAATCTAGAAAAGACAATCTGATGGACAGCAACATTGCTAATTAATTCAAAGTCGCTGGACCATGAACTAGTGAGAAGGGCCTAGTAGATCAAACTAACTTGAGCAGAAAACTTAACATTGAAAATTGCTTATTAATTGGACCATGACCTCAGGGGCAGGGCCTCAAAATAGTCATCAAACTAATATGTACTGATAGTAATGCAACTTTAAAGAAAATATCATTGATCTATCACAAGAAGTTCTTATCAAACCAACTTAAGCAGAAAACTTAACATTGAAAATTGCTAATTAACTAAAAGTCACTGGACTATGCACTAAGGGGCAGGGCCTCAAAATAGTCTTCAAACAGATATGTACTGATAGTAATGCAACTTTATACAAAATATCATTGATCTATCACAAGTAATTTTATCAAACTAACTTAAGCAGAAACAATTGTTGACGCCGACAAAATTGGTGGAAAAGCAAAACCTATGTCTCACCTTCATCAACTTTCTTCGCAGGCGAGAAAAAAACTTTTCAATGTTTGCTTTTAATATTCTACTGTAACATGTAAATGAAATACATTTTAAATTATTAATCTGGAATTACTTACTGTTGCCATCAAACATTTGTTCTGTTGATGCATGCAATAAAATCTGAACTTACAATTTGTATTTTATAAGTGATATGGAGAAAACTGACATAAAAAGGTTTCTAAATACAATAGCTCCAAAGGGTTTTTTACTATTACTTATTTGTTTCAATTTATTTGGTCACTGAGCACACAAAATAAAGAGAAACTTTCGTAAGTTGACGCCATATCAATTATGTGCATTAGTGAAGAAAATAGGCAGACTAAAATTATTATCACTGCTAATTGTGTGTTTTGGTATTACCTACTTTTAACAGTTTGTATTTTATCTAAAACAATACTACAAACAGAGATGTACAATAACTTACTTCCAAACAGATCTTTTATCTTGTGGATATCTCCTAAGGTTATCTAGTAGACCTACAATACATGCATTCAAGCTTTCTTTTGTTGACACTCTTACATCACATAACATGTCTCGTAAAGCCTCTCTTGAAGTAGTGGAGAAATCCTGTCATAAAATAAAACAACCTTTTTGTTAAAAATGGTAGGGTTGAATACTAAAAAATATTTCTTGTAAGTCAGGACCTCTTCAGTAATGGTTATCTTTTAGCTTATCTTAACATATTTTGTCAAGGATGGGAGATATTTGATAGTCTTTATAATAAACTGTTATCACAGAGATATGTCTCGCCTTTTTGTAATTTCGATAATGCAAATGCTGAAATTAAAATAGCAATACTTTAACATGTAAGTTATGCAAACATTCAAAGTCATCGAACCATGACTGAAGGTACATGGCTAAACAATCTCCATGCAAATGAGATGTGCCAATGATAATACAACTGCATACCAAATACCATTGACTTATCATAAGTTGTTCCCTTTAAATAAACCTAAAAAACAAACATTAACTTGTAAACTATGTAAAAGTTTCCAAGTCAATGAACCATGATAAGGGGTTGGGGCTATATAATCTCCATGGAAACTGGACTTGCAAATGCCAATACATTTGCATACCAAATATCATTGACTTAACATAAGTGGTTCATCTTAAACTGATCTAATCACAAACTAATACATGTAAACTAAGCAAAAGTTTCAAAGTCAATAGACCATGACTGAGGGGGCGGGGCCAAATATTCTTCATGGAAATGAGATGTGCTTATGCTTTTACAACTGCATACCAAATGACATTGGACTACCACTAATGGTTCCCAATAAACTGACCTAATCACAAACTAATACATGTAAACTAAGCAAAAGTTTCAAAGTCAATAGACCATGACTGAGAGGGCAGGGCCAAACAATCTCCATGGAAATGTGATGTGCCAATGCTAATACAACTGCATACCAAATATCATTGATCTACCACTAGATTTTCACCACAAACATGACCTAATCACAAACTAATACATTGTTGACGACGCTGCCGCAGCCAGACACAGCATACCTATGTCTCACTTCTTGACTCTGTCAAGGCGAGACAAAATTCAATTACACGTGTCTAGACATGCATGTAATATTCCAAGTATGATTTCCAACTGATCTTCACATTTTTAACTGTAATACTTCAAATATGATTTCCAACTGATCTTCACATATTTACCTGTAATACTTCAAGTATGATTTCTAACTGATCTTTACATTTTAACCTGTAATACTACAAGTATGATATCCAACTGATCTTCAAATTGTACCTTAATACTTCGAGTATAATTTCCAACTGATCTTCACATTTTTACCTGTAAATTCCAAGTGTGAATTCCAACTGATCTTCACATTTTCACCTGTAATAATGTGAGTATGATTTCCAACTGATCTTCATATTTTCACCTGTAATACTGTGAGTATGATTACTACTGATCGTCACATTTTCACCTGTAATACTCAGAGTATGATTTTCAAATGATCTTCGCATTTTTACCTGTAATACTCCAAGTATGATTTTCATCTGATCTTCACATTTTTACCTGTAATACTCCAAGTATGATTTCCAACTGATCTTCACGTAAGGTCACATGATTACTAAGTTTCCTCAGACTGTTGATAGCATTGAGTCGTACACTTTCTATCTCATCATTAAACATATCTATAATACTGTCCTGAGATAAAATAGCAAACTCCTGAGACTGTGCTGCTAACTCACACAGTGAATCTAATGCTGCATTCCTCACCTCTACAAAATGACATTATTAAATGTTTAATTGACTGCAGAGGTATATTACCATTAATGGATGATCGACTTCCCTACAGCCTATATATGGGTTAACTTAACTACAGTATCACAAGCATGTACAAAGGAAATACATATAAACCGTATACATGGTTCACAAATTCTTTTTGTTCCAATGTTGACCTTTGAGTAAAAAGGGTTAAAATTGTTTTGATCAATATCACTTGTTATCATCATTTAGAGTAAGTAGATACAAGTAATTATCTTCACAAATTACATTCAAAAGTAAATCATGCAATATATTGCAAAGTAAAAAAAAAACCCAAACAAACAAGCAAAAAATTCCTGCCAAATAGTATAATATTTACGTGATGAGAAAATAGACTGCAGTGATTCATCTCAAAACCATGTTATATGTCTGTAATTATTCAGTTTTATTGTTGGTGTGACCATAAAAATGTCATACAACTCGATGTAAGTTTTCAAAAGTTGCAAATTAAAATATCAAGATGTAAAATTTAAAGTGAAGATTAACCAAATTATTAAAAGTAAATCATCGTTCATGCTAACCTGCTAATCAAAATACTCCCAAAAAATCTTAAACTACCTTAAGCTTTTCTCCTCAGTACTTAAAATATAAAGGTGATTATGCATGTAAAGTTTTACAAAGTCATTTAAGCATAGCAAAACTGTCTATCAGACATTTGTCACTGGATGTTTAGGAAACGACAACCATGTCAAACAGACATGACTTAACCAGTATTCTGACCTATTCACCAAGAAGTACCTTTTTCTTAGATACATAAATTTTATATTAGATATGCCCAGATAAGAACTTTGATGTTAATGAATGTGTAAGTGTGGTGTAAAAAGTAGGTTAAACTGATATAACTTTGCCTTGATGTCAACCTTCCTCAACAACTCTGATGTAAATGTAAACCCAACAAAAAGATTATGAAGTGTGAAAATAGGTCTAAGTTAGCCATATTTGCAATTAGATTCCAAACTTTTCACTTCACTACACCTTCAGTAGATCTAAACTTAAACATTAACATTTCAGTCAAACAAGTTTGATGATGATGGATGGCTGCTTAACGTCCAGCAGCAAATTAATATGCATGTTCAGGACGAGAACATGTTAATGTAACAAGAATATTTACCCTGCTTTGTACTAGACCGACACACTGAGCAGTATTTTTTAATTTTCTAGTTCACAAGGTAACAGTTTGCAGGAAGACATGTCACCTTGCCCGGACACATTATTCTGACTCAGAGCTTGACCAGTCTTTGCTCTTACTCCTTAATGCCTCGTGTTTGGCAGAGAAGCAGCAAATACCAATTTTAAAGTCTATGGTTTGATCTGGCCAGGGTTTGAACCCACGACCTCCCACACTCGAGGCGAACACGCTACCACGAGACTACTGAGGCGGTTAAATACGAACAAGTTTGAAATCAAGTCACATTGTTCTACTCATGCTACTTACATGTATGATAGTGTATGAAACCTTATGATAAAACACATAAGCATGCAATATTAATTCAATCCTGTCTCCATAACTACTGTAAATTCACAAATTATTGCGATGTTTTTATTATTGCGAAAACTGCGACAGGGTTATAATCGCAATAATTTAAACTCGCATTTTGATATTTTGTATATGAATTAAACAGGATGTTTCTGAATATAGCAAAAATTAAAATCGCATTTTAGTCTAAAATGACAAAATCGCAATAATAAATGCACGCAATCATTTCTGAATTTACAGTATTAGTATGGAGGAATACATACAAGACAGTGCTCTAGCTAGCAATTGAAATAGACAGGTGTATTGTAAAGTGTATTGCCAGGTAAACATGTTTTCATTAGATAGATCCAAGTCTTGACCAATAAGGAAATTAGTTATAGAACTTAGCTTTCAGACCTCAGATCAAGTGTATTTTCTTTGATTTCACAAACATTGAACTCGTTAAAAATTCTTACTTTCCCTAAAATTATATGTCTTGTTGATGATAACTTACACAATTATGTAAGAAGTTATATTAAGGATTATAAATGTAAACAATAGTGTGAAGTCAATAAACCTTTGTTATAAATTTTGATCTGTTATCAGCTGTACAATGTGCTCTAAAACTTCTTTAAAAAATTTCAACCTCCAAATCAGGGCTAAAGGCACTTCAGTCCTGCAACATCATATCAGCATGGGGAGAACACAGATCAGCTTTGAGTTTAAATTATTATATCAAACTCAATAGTCAAGCTGAACACATCATGCTGACTGATCAATTTTCATCCAAATATGATGATTCATAATTCCAGGTAACTAATCAGGTAATTAATTTCCCAGTTATTAACACCTTGCAAGTATCTTATCTAATTACATGACTACACAACAGATGTCAAAACTGTGAAATTCAACTAACTGGCAAAAAACAATCCTAAAAACAAAACTTTTTTTTACAAAATAGGTACAAGGGTATTTTGAATTTATAATTAGTTGACCCCAGATATGTAAAAGGACAGAAGGATACTACTGAGGGCATCAAGGGATCAGTGCCCTTCAAAATTGGGCTAAAGAGACCACTGCTTCAAGTGCGAAGAGATGTGGATGGTAAAAATACTGTAATGATCAACCAACTTTGCAAAACAAATAAAATAGTTGAAATAATATCTCAAACATCTGTATTACCAAGAAATTCATCCTCTGTTCCATGTACAAATGCTCCACAAGCTCCCATGTTCATTAATGTTACAGATTCTGGAGCTACTTCATCTTTTGGAGCATCATCAGCCCACTTTTGACCTGAGGACCATTCTCCAGAGGCATAGTGGTCCTTTGCTCTCTCATGGGCACTCTTCTTTTGCTAACAATAATAAAGTATAAATACATTTTTAAGGACTTCAGACTTCTGTACCTTACTGCCACATGAAAAAATATACATGCTAATGATGAAGTTTTTATTTTTATTTTCATTAACATTTTCTTAACCATGTGTGCGACTGTTGCATTTTACCCTCCTGTAAGATAAAAAAAAATGGGTATAATCCTTATAATTCTTAACCCAAACATTTGCAATTTTAATTATCTTTTTTTCCATTGGCTACTATTTACCACCAAATCAACAGTTGAGTAACTAAAGCGTGAGCTGCCATATTGACTTGCTGAAATCCATAAATATGAGTGTATGCAATAGGATGGACAGTGAAACAACCTCTACCTCAAAACTATATTTTAAAGACATATAATTGAAATTTGAAGCATACAAATAATTGAATAACCTTCACTTAACAATGCTTAAAGAGTTATAATTCGTATGACATCATGATTTGACATCCCATTTACTGTCATTATTGGCACGATACATATTATGTTATTTTGCTCTAACATTATGTTTGCTTCTGCATTCATTCATTCATTCAATGCGCCAAGATCATTCATGAAATTTCACAGAATTTTATTTTCTTTCAATTTTATACATTTTTCTAATCTGAAAATTGTAACAGCCATGAATTGGTACATTTTTTATGGTTGTGAGTCTGTGTTAAATATTGATATATCGAGAATTGTATCATGCTGTTGTTTACAAAGATAAAGCAGCATGTCATATTAGAATACCTTTATTAATAACTGGTAGAATGTGTGTTGATGTCAGACCTTTAGTTATAAGTATCAAATTTTGTCACAACTTGTCTAGACTAAGGATGATTTGAAGCTTAGGAGTGAGCACTTTTCTAAAACTAAAATGTGGATGGTCACTTCAAAATAGCTATTTGTATATCCATAGTTGCCAACTGACATGATATTGGCATGTAATACACGTTTTTTCAACGGTTTACACGCGAAGATTTTGTCACATGGCATGTACACGCGTTTTGCCACTTTACACGCAATAACACGCTTTTTCATAGTTTTGATTTTTTGGTTGTTAGTGATATTGCGATTCTCGGGTTGTTCATTATTAGACAAAAAATACCCAAAATTTCGAAGTAATTGTTTCGTCGCCATTGTTTATTTTTCTATATGGACGAACAGCAAAAGCCCTTAAGGTAAGTAGTTTGTGATTAGTTTTTACGATTTTGTGACTTTCTTTCTTTCAAATTCACTTAGGGGAAATGTCGACAGAAATAGTTCGATTTCAGGACCTGTACCGTCGTCTAAAGAGCCGATTGCTAAGCGAAAACGATGTGTACATACCAAGATAAATTTTAAGATTTACAAATTATATTTGGGAGTTCAAGTTTAAATAATCGAGAGACGAGTAACGCATTGTGCACCCTATGTTGCAATCATAACAATACATGTGAGAGGAGAACTACAATGTAGCGATTTCATTAAGCATTTAACGTGCTTAATGGTAATCAAATAATAAAATACTTTTCTTTTTCAGTTTCAAATCTAGCCAACAGATTCCCACAGGCCAAAGGGGATGGAAATATCACGGGACTGTTGGATCAGTTCTCATAGTACCAGCTGTCTTCTGATAAACTACCCAGTTTTGACCAGACAATAGCCTCAGAGACAATAGCAACATATATAGTTCGTTGGGAGCAATGGCAAAGATAATAGATGACATTTTAGATGGCAAAAAAACGTTATGACACTCTTTCGAAGCTTGATCAAGCTATTTAAGTTCAGCCAAATATCAATTCTGACTGTGAGAGAACATTTTCAATTATAAAGAAATCTACACTGAATTCTGATCAGAACTCGACAATGATATATTGTGTGCCTTGTTATCAAGTAAATGTAATCAAACTGGCAGTTGTTTTGAATATGTGCCTGAGCCTAGGGTGTTGCTTTAAAAGCAGCATAAACAGACCACTGTTGAATATAATAAAAGTTTACTCTAGAATATTGTTTTTATTATATATTAACAAATTTGTATAATCATGATAATGTGAAATTTTGAACATTGTTCATATAAAAAAGTCCGTATCTTCATCGCGCGTTTTCACATGCTTTTTGACTAGTCATGTCATGTCATGACATGATTTCTCATTGTCAGAGGTTGGCGAGTATGTGTATATCATGTAGATTAATTAAAGTTTAAATACAACACATTTTAACCTAAAGGCCAATTATCAATGATTAAAAGGGTACATTTAAATTCCAAACTTGTGTACAGTGTAGAATGAAAAATGTAATTTACCAGGTACTGTATTTTGAATATCTTCAATCCTACTCCTTAAAGTTTTGTTTTCAATTTAAAAACATCTATATATCATCAAATGTACAATAAGATAAGGACAAAAACTTACAATCAAACAATTATCACTCATAACTGAATCAAACAATTATCACTCATAACTGCAAACAAACAATTATCACTCATAACTGCAAACAAATCTTTCACAATATTTCACCTACCCTCATGTTTGACATAAGTTTCTTGTCCAGTGTCTGTTCTAAAAACTTGGGGCTCACTTGATGTAAAGATCCCTGAAAAATCAAACATTATTCTATTCTTATTTGGGTATGACCAAATACGAGAATGTGTTGGCCCATAGTACATATAATCAAAGAATTGTATGCATTTCTAAATCTATATTATGTATATGACATTCCCAAATGCCAAATTGTGTCCATTTTTTTGTGATGCTACATCATATCAATTTTCATTTAAAGCCTGAACATGCATATTAAAGCTTGGAGATAAACACTTAAGTTTGATAAACCTGGTCTTTTAAAGTAAATACTAATCTGTGTTGATCAATCTGTGTGCATGTGAACATCTCATTGTTGCTTTCCTTGTTTCTCTTTTTGTTTTTGTTTTTTTTAATTTCAACAGCTTAAGTGCTTTGCTAACCAGTAATGTTGCAGCTTCCACTCTGACTTTCATTGATATATCATTCATCATATTACAGATCTTGGCAAAACCATCATCAACAAGTCTTATCTCGTCATCAGATTCTGGAACTGGAACCTTACTAAAATATAAATATGATACTCTTAATAATGTTCAATATACTTAAATGTGTCAAATATGATACCAAATGATACCAAAGCATGTCTAAAATAAAATAAATAAAATCTAATCATAAGAGAAACTAAATAATACTTGAAAACATTGATATGTTTAAAAGAGAAAGAAACCCAAAATAGATTAAAAATCAATTGTTCTCACCTTAGATGTTGATAATTTATAAGGTCTGGATGAACTTATATATACAGTAACCCTTGTTTAAATAAACTGTTAACACAGAGATATGTCTCGACTATTTGTTATTTTGATAATGCAAATGTTGAAATTAAAATAGCAATACTTTACATGTAAGTTATGCAATTATTCAAAGTCAATGAACCATGACTGAAGGTACAGGGCTAAATGATCTCCAATGCTAATGCAACTGCATACCAAATACCATTGACTTATCATAAGTTGTTCCCTTTCAACAAACCTAAACACAAATATACTTGTAAACTATGTAGTTTCAGTCAATGAACCATGATGAGGTGGTGGGGCTATATAATCCATGGAAATGAAACTTGCAAATACCAATACATTTGCATACCGAATATCATTGACTTAACATTAGTGGTTCATCTTAAACTGACCTAATCACAAACTAATACATGTAAACTAAGTAAAAGTTTCAAAGTCAATAGACCATGACTGAGGGGTAAGGACCAAATATTCTCCATGGAAATGAGATGTACTAATGCTTATACAACTGCATACCAATTATCATTGACCTACCACTAACAGTTCCCCTTAAACTGACCTAATCACAAACTAATACATGAAAATTAAGCAAAAGTTTCAAAGTCAAAAGACCATGAATGAGGGGGCGGGGCCAAATAATCTCCATGGAAATGAGATATGCCAATGCTTATACAACTGCATACCAAATATCATTGACCTACCGCTAGTGGTTCCCCATAAACTGACCTAATCACAAACTAATACATGAAAACTAAGCAAAGTTTCAAAGTCAATAGACCTTGACTGAGGGGGCAGGGCCAAATAATCTCCATGGTAATGAGATGTGCCGATGCTAATACAACTGCATACCAAATATCATTGACCTACCACTAGCGGTTCCCCATAAACTGACCTAATCACAAACGAATACATGTAAACTAAGCAAAGTTTCAAAGTCAATAGACCTTGACTGAGGGGGCGGGCCAAACAATCTCCATGGTAATGAGATGTGCCAATGCTAATACAACTGCAGAACAAATATCACTGACCTACCACTAGTGGTTCACCATGAACTAGACCTAATCACAAACTAATACATTGTTGACACCGCCGCCGCTGGAAACAGCATACCTATGTCTCGCTTTTTGACTCCGTCAAGGCGAGACAAAAAATACTACATCAGAAGATAATTTGTCTTATGTATTAAGCAATGGAAGGCAAAATTTTATATTGAAGTTATCCTCCTCTGTCTATATTCCATTATTGTAGTTGAACCTATTTCTAGAATATATAGATTCATACACCAACCATAACAAAGGTAAGTCTGCTCATACACATCATATATGTCATTTATTGCTTGAGAAGGACATAAACAGGATATAAAGAGTGTTTAAAAAGTCACTGTACTATGTTATTAGTGCTCTCAAAGTACAGGTAGAGACGAGGCTGGAAATTATAGCTATCAAGCCCGTGAAAATATTGTTTAGATTGCATTTTCTTCTTAAATGTTTCAGAGGTACAATGCTGCATTTTTGTGCTCCCTAATATTTCTAGAGGGAGCATAATATTTCATATATTTCCACTATTTTAAAACTTCTATCGTAATAAGTTTTAAAAAAGATGACTAAAATGCCTTAAATAAATGATCACCTTTCTGGATAGAGATGACTTAAAATCCACACAAGTTTGACAGCAGCTGTTCTCACGTCTTCATAATCATCTGTTAAAGCCTTACATGCACGATCATATACTGATAAATCTATAGACTGGCCTCTTTGGTGTAACTGTTGCTAGAAATATTCATAAATGTCAGTATTAAATTTTTATAAGTTACATTGATGTGAAATATAACTACAAATAACTTTCTATGTAAAAATATTTTAAATAAAATTTCATGATCAAATAAAATTATGTTTTTCTAAACCATCCTTGTGGAAAAAGGAGAAATACTTCAACATGTTCAAAAGCTCATTTTTTTTTTAGATAAATGCATAAAATCACGAAATATGAATGAATAAGGCAAAATAAGCACAGTTATGACATCAATATTATGTTGTTATATGCACATGAAAATGAAGAAATACAGATACTTTTTTGGTGGAAACATTGGCTGCAGCTAAATAAGAAGCAACCATAGTTTATAAGCATCCTTATTTACATGGAGAGGCTACAATTATTGTATTTCACTTTAGTATGTCATAGGGATAATCTATATGTAATTATTTAATTAGACATGGTTTAAACACTGAGCTATCTGATAGGAGTATGCAGGTAACCAGACTCTAATTATTTTCATAAATAAGCCTGTCAAAAAGTTGTCTTCATCTTCTCTGGTAATAAATAAAATAAAATTGAGAATGGAAATGGGGAATGTGTCAAACAGACAACAACCCGACCAAAGAGCAGAGAACAGCTGAAGGCCACCAATGGGTCTTCAACACAGCGAGAAAATCCCGCACCTGGAGGCGGGCTTCAGCTGGCCCCTAAACAAAAATGTGTACTAGTTGTATTGATTTTCCTCAAGCATTGAAGAATCGTTCCTTTAAGATATTTGAAATGAAACAGTATAGTAGTTAATATATACCACAGCTCTGAAGGCACTAGACCTAACTCTGGGGTCCTGATCTTGTGTAAATGATATTACTAGGGTCTGTACAGATACATGCTCCTCTGATTGATCAGTATCTTTAGAAATCGTATCGTGGGATCCAACAGCACCAATCAAATTTAAACAGCTAGATCTTACTACATGATGTGCATGTTTTGAGTGCTGGAAAAAAGAAAACCATTTTGCTCTTACTATCCATGCTTATATATGAGATAAATGATTTAAAGTTCGACATTGTCATGTTTGAATTGTATATAGAGGAGATGTTGTAGGTTTGTAAACTATTTGTTAATATAGATTTTTGGTGATTTCGTCCCTTGCTGTTAACTAATGGTTTTACTAAGACATTTGATGAACATTACATATACTTTATTGTTATTTTATGTGCAATTTGTTTGTAAGGTCTCTGGACGTGATAGGACAGAACCTTCCTAGTTTGACTAGGAGGGTTCCTACACTGATGATAGGACCCAACTTCTCTTTATCCTTGTTTCATACATTAATGCATCATTACCTTTTAATAAGATCTGAATATTGTAACAGAGAACAGAGACACATTCATACTTAAAGTAAGCATTGTTAAGTTCTGTCTTCAAACTTGAGAAAACATCAACATTGGTACATTTGAATCAATGAATCTCTATACAGGGTTTACAGACCTTACATTTTCATGGTTTCAGGGAAACCTACTTTTCACTATGGTACAGTACATCTGCCTCATTGCTATATATATCAAATAGTAATACAAGTAAATTCTTTTTACATATCCAACATTTATATAGAGAAAAAAGACATCTGTATTTACTATATATTATTAATCGAATATTTTTAAGGATTTGTGATTTGTTAAAACTTGATCACATGTTCATTTGTATTTGCTCAGTTTGCACGCCAATACTGTTGTGTTTAGCTTTTCGTAGGTCAAAAACAGCATATTGCACAGGGCATACAGCATGTTACTAAAAATAGATTCTAGAAATCCCCAATTTTACATTGTTCATGCTATAGTTGTTGATTAATAATATAACAATTGTAGCCTTTGGTTGAGGTCAATACGATGTTATATCGACCCAGAGAAGCATATCGACCTCGGACTTCGTCCTCAGTCAATATGCTTCTCTTAGGTCGATATAACCTCCTATCGACCTCATGCAAATGCTATAAGTGTATAATATTATTAATCGAATATTTTTAAGGATTTGTGATTTGTTAAAACTTGATCACATGTTCATTTGTATTTGCTCAGTTTGCACGCCAATACTGTTGTGTTTAGCTTTTCGTAGGTCAAAAACAGCATATTGCACAGGGCATACAGCATGTTACTAAAAATAGATTCTAGAAATCCCCAATTTTACATTGTTCATGCTATAGTTGTTGATTAATAATATAACAATTGTAGCCTTTGGTTGAGGTCAATACGATGTTATATCGACCCAGAGAAGCATATCGACCTCGGACTTCGTCCTCAGTCAATATGCTTCTCTTAAGTCGATATAACCTCGTATCGACCTCATGCAAAGGCTATAAGTGTATAATATAAAATGATATTTAAATTAAAACTGAATTACTGCATAATTCAATGACTGTTTACAAATATACCTCTCTAGCAAGCTGTACTATCTTAAGATGCAGATCTCTATTGTCAGGGGCAGATAACCCAACTGTCTGTAAACTTTGTATCAACTGTCCAACAACCTTGTGTGATTCTAAAATAACAACAGAGCTGATTGTCTAAAACAAACACATACTAATTATCTTAAGAATCAAACATTTATTGAAGTCTGAAACTAGGGCTCCATGGAACAGTACCAAATATGTCAATAGTCAGAGAATCAAAATGAAACATGAATGTGTTTTTTTTTTAAATTACTCATTATATTTTACACATCAAATAAAGCATTGAGAATGGGCAAATGATGAGTAGTGATTTTAAAAGCTCAAGTGACAAACAAATTGACAAACTAAAATGTCACACCAGCTGAAATGTCTGATTTATATTAAGGGTCAATAGACTGAAAATAAGGTCACTGACCTACCAGTCAGACACTAGTACTCCTTAAAATTAATTCACATTAACTTGTTATGTTTGTTTGCTGAGGAATAGACTGTGGACCTGTTATGCTTGTTTACAGAGGAGTAGACTGTGGACCTGTTATGCTTGTTTACTGAGGAATAGACTGTGGACCTATTATGCTTGTTTGCTGAGGAATAGACTGTGGATCGGACCTGTTATGCTTGTTTGCTGAGGAATAGACTGTGGACCTGTTATGCTTGTTTGCTGAGGAATAGACTGTGGACCTTATATGCTTGTTTGCTGAGGAATAGACTGTGGACCTGTTATGCTTGTTTGCTGAGGAGTAGACTGTGACCTGTTATGCTTGTTTGCTGAGGAGTAGACTGTGGACATGTTATGCTTGTTTGCTGAGGAATAGACTGTGGACCTGTTATGTTTGTTTGCTGAGGAATAGACTGTTGACCTGTTATGCTTGTTTGCTGAGGAGTAGACTGTGGACCTGTTATGCTTGTTTGCTGAGGAATAGACTGTGGACCTGTTATGATTGTTTGCTGAGGAGTAGACTGTGGACCTGTTATGCTTGTTTACTGAGGAATAGACTGTGGACCTATTATGTTTGTTTGCTGAGGAGAAGACTGTGGACCGGACCTGTTATGCTTGTTTGCTGAGGAATAGACTGTGGACCTGTTATGCTTGTTTGCTGAGGAATAGACTGTGGACCTGTTATGCTTGTTTGCTGAGGAGTAGACTGTGGACCTGTTATGCTTGTTTGCTGAGGAGTAGACTGTGGACCTGTTATGATTGTTTGCTGAGGAGTAGACTGTGACCTGTTATGCTTGTTTGCTGAGGAGTAGACTGTGGACATGTTATGCTTGTTTGCTGAGGAATAGACTGTGGACCTGTTATGTTTGTTTGCTGAGGAGTAGACTGTGGACCTGTTATGCTTGTTTGCTGAGGAGTAGACTGTGGACCTGTTATGCTTGTATGCTGAGGAGTAGACTGTGGACCTGTTATGCTTGTTTGCTGAGGAATAGACTGTGGACCTGTTATGATTGTTTGCTGAGGAGTAGACTGTGGACCTGTTATGTTTGTTGTTTGCTGAGGAGTAGACTGTGGACCTGTTATGCTTGTTTGCTGAGGAGTAGACTGTGGACCTGTTATGCTTGTTTAATGAGGAGTAGACTGTGGACCTGTTATGCTTGTTTGCTGAGGAGTAGACTGTGGACCTGTTATACTTGTTTGCTGAGGAATAGACTGTGGACCTGTTATGCTTGTTTACTGAGGAGTAGACTTTGGACCTGTTATGCTTGTTTGCTGAGGAGTAGACTGTGGACCTGTTATGTTTGTTTGCTGAGGAATAGACTGTGGAACTGTTATGTTTGTTTGCTGAGGAATAGACTGTGGACCTGTTATGCTTGTTTGCTGAGGAATAGACTGTGGACCTGTTATGTTTGTTTGCTGAGGAATAGACTGTGGACCTGTTATGCTTGTTTGCTGAGGAGTAGACTGTGGACCTGTTATGCTTGTATGCTGAGGAGTAGACTGTGGACCTGTTATGCTTGTTTGCTGAGGAATAGACTGTGGACCTGTTATGATTGTTTGCTGAGGAGTAGACTGTGGACCTGTTATGTTTGTTGTTTGCTGAGGAGTAGACTGTGGACCTGTTATGCTTGTTTGCTGAGGAATAGACTGTGAACCTGTTATGCTAGTTTGCTGAGGAGTAGACTGTGGACCTGTTATGCTTGTTTGCTGAGGAGTAGACTGTGGACCTGTTATGCTTGTTTGCTGAGAAGTAGACTGTGGACCTGTTATGCTGGTTTGCTGAGGAATAGACTGTGGACCTGTTATGCTGGTTTACTGAGGAGTAGACTGTGGACCTGTTATGCTGGTTTGCTGAGGAGTAGACTGTGGACCTGTTATGCTTGTTTGCTGAGGAGTAGACTGTGGACCTGTTATGCTTGTTTGCTGAGGAGTAGACTGTGGACCTGTTATGTTTGTTTGCTGAGGAATAGACTGTGGACCTGTTATGTTTGTTTGCTGAGGATAGACTGTGGACCTGTTATGCTTGTTTGCTGAGGAATAGACTGTGGACCTGTTATGCTTGTTTGCTGAGGAATAGACTGTGGACCTGTTATGCTTGTTTGCTGAGGAGTAGACTGTGGACCTCTTATGGTTGTTTGCTGAGGAGTAGACTGTGGACCTGTTATGGTTGTTTTGCTGAGGAGTAGACTGTGGACCTGTTATGCTTGTTTGCTGAGGAATAGACTGTGGACCTGTTATGTTTGTTTGCTGAGGAGTAGACTGTGGACCTGTTATTTACTGAGTAGAAAGCCTTTGACCTGTCATGTTTGTTTACTGAGGGGTAGACCTCTGACCTGTTAGGTTTGTCTGCTGAGGAGTAAACCTCTGAACTGTTATGTTTGTTTACTAAGGAAAACACATTTGACCTGGTTTTTTATGTTTACTGAGGAGTAGACCTTTGACCTTTTGTTTGTTTACCTAGGGAAAACCTTTAACCTGTTGTTTTTGTTTACTGAGGAGTAGACCTTTGACCTGTTATGTTTGTTTACCAAGGTGAACACCTTTGACCTGTTGTTTTTGTTTACTGAGGAGTAGACCCTTGACCTGTTATGTTTGTTTACCTAGGGGAACACCTTTGACCTGTTGTTTTTGTTTACAGAGGAGTAGACCTTTAACCTGTTTTGCTTGTTTACTGAGGAGTACACCTTTGTTATGTTTTGTTTGTTTACTGAGCAGTAGACCTTAATCAGGAAAATGGTATCTAATTACTGATGAGTGAAAATGAGGTCAAGGCCATAAAATAGACTGATAGAATAAACATTCTTGAACTATCAAGCAAATGTTTCTGTGAAACAGACCTTTGTAATTTAAAAATATTAATCTGATTAGAATAATTGGAGTATAAAAATGAGTAAGTTATCTTGCTATCAAAACCTGTTCATCAACAACCTACCTTAAATGAACATGATTTATAAAATATTTGGACAAAGTTATAATGTCACACTTATGTCACTATTGTCACAATTATCTAAAAAGTTATAATGTAACACTTATGTCACTATTGCCACAATTATCAGAAAAGTTATAATGTAACACTTATGTCACTATTGACACAATTATCAGAAAAGTAAAACTCACTATCTCACAACACTGTGATTTTACAGGGGTGAACCTACAGAATATATCTTTATCATGTTTATTTACTTTCTGTTTTGAGGAGTGATATAATCTCCTCCACTACAGACTATCTCTTTACTTCCTTTCTGTTTTGAGGAGTGATATAATCTCCTCCAGTACAGAATATCTTTACTTACTTTCTGTTTTGAGGAGTGATATAATTTCCTCCACTACAGAATATCTCTTTACTTACTTTCTGTTTTGAGGAGTGATATAATCTCCTCCACTACAGAATATCTCTTTACTTACTTTCTGTTTTGAGGAGTGATATAATCTCCTCCACTACAGACTATCTCTTTACTTACTTTCTGTTTTGAGGAGTGATATAATCTCCTCTACTACAGAATATATCTTTACTTACTTTCTGTTTTGAGGAGTGATATGATCTCCTCTACTACAGAATATATCTTTACTTACTTTCTGTTTTAAGGAGTGATATGATCTCCTCCATTACAGACTATATCTTTACTTACTTTCTGTTTTGATGAGTGATATAATCTCCTCCACTACAGACAATATATTTACTTACTTTCTGTTTTGAGGAGTGATATGATCTCCTCCACTACAGACTATATCTTTACTTACTTTCTGTTTTGAGGAGTGATATAATCTCCTCTACTGCAGAATATATCTTTACTTACTTTCTGTTTTGAGGAGTGATATAATCTCCTCTACTACAGAATATATCTTTACTTACTTTCTGTTTTGAGGAGTGATATAATTTCCTCCACTACAGAATATCTCTTTACTTACTTTCTGTTTTGAGGAGTGATATAATCTCCTCCACTACAGACTATCTCTTTACTTACTTTCTGTTTTGAGGAGTGATATAATCTCCTCTACTACAGAATATATCTTTACTTACTTTCTGTTTTGAGGAGCGATATGATCTCCTCTACTACAGAATATATCTTTACTTACTTTCTGTTTTGATGAGTGATATAATCTCCTCCACTACAGACAATATATTTACTTACTTTCTGTTTTGAGGAGTGATATGATCTCCTCCACTACAGACAATATATTTACTTACTTTCTGTTTTGAGGAGTGATATGATCTCCCCCACTACAGACTATATCTTTACTTACTTTCTGTTTTGAGGAGTGATATAATCTCCTCCACTACAGACTATCTCTTTGCTTCCTTTCTGTTTTGAGGAGTGATATAATCTCCTCCAGTACAGAATATCTTTACTTACTTTCTGTTTTGAGGAATGATATAATTTCCTCCACTACAGAATATCTCTTTACTTACTTTCTGTTTTGAGGAGTGATATAATCTCCTCCACTACAGAATATCTCTTTACTTACTTTCTGTTTTGAGGAGTGATATAATCTCCTCCACTACAGACTATCTCTTTACTTACTTTCTGTTTTAAGGAGTGATATAATCTCCTCCACTACAGAATATATCTTTACTTACTTTCTGTTTTGAGGAGTGATATGATCTCCTCTACTACAGAATATATCTTTACTTACTTTCTGTTTTAAGGAGTGATATGATCTCCTCCATTACAGACTATATCTTTACTTACTTTCTGTTTTGATGAGTGATATAATCTCCTCCACTACAGACAATATATTTACTTACTTTCTGTTTTGAGGAGTGATATGATCTCCTCCACTACAGACTATATCTTTACTTACTTTCTGTTTTGAGGAGTGATATAATCTCCTCTACTGCAGAATATATCTTTACTTACTTTCTGTTTTGAGGAGTGATATAATCTCCTCTACTACAGAATATATCTTTACTTACTTTCTGTTTTGAGGAGTGATATAATTTCCTCCACTACAGAATATCTCTTTATTTACTTTCTGTTTTGAAGAGTGATATAATCTCCTCCACTACAGACTATCTCTTTACTTACTTTCTGTTTTGAGGAGTGATATAATCTCCTCTACTACAGAATATATCTTTACTTACTTTCTGTTTTGAGGAGCGATATGATCTCCTCTACTACAGAATATCTTTACTTACTTTCTGTTTTGATGAGTGATATAATCTCCTCCACTACAGACAATATATTTACTTACTTTCTGTTTTGAGGAGTGATATGATCTCCTCCACTACAGACAATATATTTACTTACTTTCTGTTTTGAGGAGTGATATGATCTCCTCTACTACAGACTATATCTTTACTTACTTTCTGTTTTGAGGAGTGATATAATCTCCTCTACTACAGACTATATCTTTACTTACTTTCTGTTTTGAGGAGTGATATAATCTCCTCTACTACAGAATATATCTTTACTTACTTTCTGTTTTGAGGAGTGATATAATCTCCTCCACTACAGACTATATCTTTACTTACTTTCTGTTTTGAGGAGTGATATAATCTCCTCCAGGACAGACTATAGCTTTACTTACTTTCTGTTTTGATGAGTGATATAATCTCCTCCACTACAGACAATATATTTACTTACTTTCTGTTTTGAGGAGTGATATGATCTCCTCCACTACAGACTATATCTTTACTTACTTTCTGTTTTGAGGAGTGATATAATCTCCTCCACTACAGACTATATCTTTACTTACTTTCTGTTTTGAGGAGTGATATAATCTCCTCTACTACAGAATCTCCTGCACATTGTGGGTGTTTAGACAACAATCCAAGGATGTGTGCAATTTTCCATCGAACAACTGATTCCTTCTCTCTGTGATAATGATCTATCAACTGTCTAACAATATTGACAACATTTTCTCCAATCTGTGACAACTGACGTTCTAAGTGTATAAGACTACTGACAGCCTCCTGTGTGCTGGTCCCGACTGTAAGATCTAGGTGGACTTCTTGCAGTAAAGGTTTCTGAACTAACTTTAACTTTTTGATAGGTCTAGGTTCCTCCTTAAAAGATAAGATAAAATCACATTTACCAGTGAATAATCAAATTGATTGATGGGAATAAGTGATCTAAATTTTAGTGTTCACTCAAAGAAGTTAGAGGATGTTTTCAATATTTTCTTGTCTCAATACATGTATGACCAGTCAGGGATATAACTCTATAGGGTTATTAGAGAAAATATCTTGCATGTGTTATTACAGATATTCATGAGTTGTCTACTCTTTATTCCTTAAATTTTCTAAATCTGTAGTAACATATATCATATAGATATATGTTTGTTATTTCTTAAATAAATCATAAATATTTTAATTTTTAGTGGGCACTTGGGAATTCTTGAAACTGCTCAGAAACTAAATACATAGCCTTGATAATTAATTTTCGAATTAAATTAATACATTTTTCATCAACCATGGTAAATCAATGAGACAAGGCTTTTAAGGAATAGACTTAGCTGTAATAACAAGGCTTAGTTATTAAAGACATGTAACTTATTATATGAGACACTTGAGAATTACCGGGAAGCTTGAGCAGAACCTCATTACATGCTCTGATCATTATTTCTTACAATAAATTAAAATACATTGTGATTAAGCATGATGTATGTCTGAGCAAAGGCTTTGAAGTGATGTAGAGAAGCTGTAATAACACCCTTTAGTTATTACAGGTATATTTTTTATGTAATAACATAGGTGTACTATGCATGATTGGAAAACTATGAACTGTTATATCTTTCTATAGTTTAGTATACATAAGGGCAATAAATATCAATAGAACTTGTATACATTTTAACAAAACAAATGATGTATATTGGCCCTTTGAAACATGTAACATACATTATTATCACAGTTCTTTGATGTTTTAGTCCACATTATAACAAATGTATGTTAGTTTTCTCTAATAACCCTATAGAGTTATATCCCTGACTGATGACAGGGACATTGGCTCATCAATATGAAAATCTTGTTAGCAAAGAAATTTTTCCATTACCTGTATCATGATTGTAGCAGGTTGAAATCACATGGCATGGTAGCCATTGTGACTAAAATGTATAAACAAAAATAGTGAATCATTTGCATTTCATTGCATGCATAATTAAAATTTTATATGATAACTGAAACTGAAATTATTGACAACAGAAATAAATACATTAACACTCACAGACTGGAATAACATTTGTTAGAACTGGATTCTTGATTCATTAAAAACTGTTTTTTCTGTAGATTTTATGTATATGTTGTGTACAAGATATAAGTTTGTACAAATTATAATTTGTACAGGGTTTTTGTACAAGTTATAAGTTTTTTGACACATACCTTCTTGCGCCAGGTGATAAAGGTATATCTTTTAAAATGTATCAGTTTAATGTTTTAAATTCAAATTTATATACTTCAACCTAACATTCATGACATTTAGTGCTATTCTCCTTGTCCTCAAACTGGAAATAAGGACACCTGAATTGTTTAAATTCCAATTTTATTTTTCTCCTTATAGTTAAATCATATCCATAAAAAGTCTTTTTGTGTTCTTATAATGTTTTTTGTATCAATGCTCTGTATTAGACTGTATCATGTAGTTGTGAAAATATGACAGAAATATACAAAACAAAAGACTGTGTGCTTGCATCATCCATTTGTGTTAAGCGGTTCAGAAAACACTGATAACTTGTACAAAAAATCTGTACAAATTATAATTTGTACATCATTACAACTTGTACACAACATGTATACCAAGTTACCAACCAGTTGTTCATGTCAGACCTGATATTGCATTTTTTCAAAGGAACAATGTGTTACAATAACATAACACATCAGTTTTCCAGATTTGTTTTAATTACATTTAATTTGCATTAGGACTTTAACTCTTGAAAAATAATAATGCAAACTGCACAACCTACTGTCTTTAATATTAAGACATGAGAAGTTTAATAAATCAATATATAAGTATATGTGGCTAACTTGTTTTTTTGGGGTAATTTTGGTCCTAGTCAGGTATGACATAATGTATTGTAAATTGTCCAAAACCTATGAGCACATGGAGTAAAATAGTCATTTTACATGTTTTTGGTCAAATACAGGAATACATGCATGTATGTTAATTTTACCATAGTTATGATAGTAACATCATACAGGATACATTTAAATGTATTTCTGTCCTTAAAATTCTTAATTATTTCATCCTATTCTATAAAATTAACAAAATGCTTACGACTTCCATAACTGATAGAATTTAACTTTTGTGGCAATTTCAAGAAACAAATTTTTGCTCTTATCATTCCCCCGTCCTTTACAGATAGCTGATCACAGTTTAAAAAATTGTATTTCTGCAAAATTAATTATAAGTGAATTTGTTTTAACAAATGCAAGCAACATTTCAGTCAAATGCATTTACAAAAGGAGTAAGTTCGGTATGGCCCCAATTATAAAGTTCAATGTTACAAGATGAAAAATGTTTTAATTTGACTTAAAGACATGTGAGAAAGTTAAATAGAACTTTTAGTGTCAAAGTTTTATTCGAAAGAGTTGATTTTTACATCCAAAATAGGTCAAGATAACAGATTTTGGCGAAATTTGACAAAATCGGCCGGATTTCAACAATGTCAACCAAATTTAGGGCCAGGAAACATAGAGCGCAGGCATGACAACCTAAATATTCAAGTTATACATGTAAAATGTCTTTACAAACATTATATAAAAAGATCTTTATGCGCTCTATGTTTTCTGTCCAATAATCAATGGAATTTTACCCATTTTCATTGATTTTTTCGTGGAAAATCAAAGTGAATACTACTTGTGACATCATGAATAAAACACAGGTACGTAAATTTTCAACAAAAGGCCTTTTTCCTTTTAGTCACTGTATTAGCTATGATTCATTGTGATATTGGTCAATAAATCCTAATTTGAAATTTAAGCTAAAAAAGGGGCCATTTCAGGGCCTATTATCAGTGTTAATAGGTGCTCTCTCCACATGCTCCAGACTCCAGTCTCAACTGACTTTGCACACTTAATTTCTTTTTCCAACTGGTTACAATGAATTACAGTCTTAACAAAGAATAAGTTATCAAATTAATCACTTTACATTATGTGTGGTATATGATCTATCTAGTGACTTGGTTTTTTTCTTAACTGAAAGTATATTGTTTACACAGCCATAGGCTTAACAGGTCAGGAATAATCATTAATTGGTGGATTATACCTCAATTCAGGTATAATTCATCATTTGACATATAATGAGATACATCAATTGAGGTATAATCATGATAATGCAGTTTTCATCAAAAAAAAATTTTAAGAGATTTTGGAGTATCTTTTTGGATTTACCATAACAAGCTTTGATGACCACTTAGTGATGACATGAAATTGATTCTGACACTTCGTGCTGCATTTTGTTAGAGAACCCCAAAAACTAATATGACCCTCCTTTTCCTACCTATAAATTCTGAGTTTTCATCTATTAAATCTTATTTTTGTTCTGACTTCTGTAGTCTCTTCCTGTCCATTTCGACTGACAAATTTTAAAGTTGGAACTGATGCAGACTTAAGGAAACCAGTCGCCAACATCCATCAATTAATAGACTATACCTCAACTGAGGTATAATCCACATTATCATAAAACGCAGCACTGGAATTCAGAAGCAATTACATGTCACCAATGATAACTCACCAAAGCTTGGTATATGCAAAAAGATGCTCGAATATGTCTTTAAAAATTTCTGTGGTAAAAACTGCATTATACATGTACCTCAATTGGTCTATCTCACTATATGTCAAATGGTGGATTTAGTCCAAATTATTATGACGTCTTGAAAGGCTATAATACTTTTTTTCTTTGACGCCTTACTTTGCTTCCTCCACCATAATAACAGATCTGCCCAATGTCCTAACACTCCCTGGTGTTGGGGTGGAGCTTGTCCTTGTAAATATTGAACATTGTAAATACGTTAGTGACACATCTCCATTAATCCCAGTAGGGAGTGTACACGGATATCTCTGTACCCTCGCAGCTCTCGAGGGGTGCTCCGTAAACAGAGGGATCTACGTACATACATACATACATACAGGGACTGTAAGGCCTCAAAGAAAAAAAGTATAATAGCCTTTCAAGACGTCATAATTATTTGGACTAACGGTGGATTATACCTGAATTGAGGTATAATCCACCAATTAATGGTTATTCCTGACCTGGTTAAAATACCTCCGACCAGTGCGTCGATAAGTACTATGGATATAATTAATCCGCAGACAATTTAAGTTATGAAAAGTAAAAAAAAAATATAAATGCAATCAAAAATAACCTGGATAACTTGGCTAAATTCGGCAACGGCCCTTTTCTTCAGCAAAGCTGCCATTCGGAAGTAGTGGGAAAATAATAACTAACAACAATTACGGTAAGAACTAAAATTTCCGTATTTGTAATTTAGAGCGTTGTGACAGTATCATAATAAAGCATAACATATTTTATTTAAATTCAAGTATTCAGATAACAATACAAAATAAGCTTTGTAGAACTTTAAACATAAGTATACCGACCGCAGAATATTTTAGTATTGGAGTATTGAAATATAGTCACCGTGTCAAATTGTACCAATTCCCGCTTACAAGGTGTATGTTCTGCTCTTGAGGGAATGTAGGAATAATTCAATACAGGGGTTTTTATGCAAATGGAATGCAGTTTCAGGCTATCTTTGTTGAAAACAAAACACAATAAAAAGATTGTGTTTGATTTAAATGTTATTTTTATTTCAAGTGATGATGAGGTTAAATTACTTGGAGTTACAAATGATTTTATGCATCATGTGCATAGAACTTCAATTTACATATTTCAAATATTTGTGAAAAGGTTGCAAGGAAATAAAATGTTTTGAAAAGACTCGGTAACTTGAAAGTTACAATTTATAATTCATTTATCGTGTCTAACTTCAGTTATTGCCCTTTGTCTTGACTGATTTCTGCGGGGAACAAAATCCAAAAAAAAGAAGAAAAATACAAAACTATGCGCTACGCTTTATTTGTGATTATTATCAAAATTGCGTAGGTAAAAATGTTACCTTTTCCCATATTGTTTGGGTTTCATGTGGTGTGTAATGTAAAAGTGGAATACCAAAGTGCCGAAAGAGAGAAAATTGGTTGATAAAAACAAAGCCGGGAACACCAAGAAAGATGACAGACGAAGAAGTTATGGGAACTTTATTGACCTAATCATATATTTCTGATAGTTTTCCCGACCTATATTCACATATTTTCAAGCTTGAAAAGGTGACCTATTCCAGCGGCACGTCCTATCACCTTGTATATAGGAAGTGCCCCCCCCCCCCCGAGAGTTATTGTATAAACAAAAATTAATGTAGTTTCAGGTACATGTATGTAGGCATTGCTGAGGTACCTAGACCAAGAACCTCAACTTATAATCGTTTATATTGGAGGCAGCACAAGCAGTATGGGATTCTCTCCCAAATGAGGCCAGAGTTATCACTTCTTTTGATTTATTTAGGAATTATACAAAATCCTGGCGAAGGGGGCAAAAATGAAATTGCAGTAGTACCGTCGTTTCTATTCAGTGCTGCCTCATAGCTGAAAATTTCTTTCTTTTTCGGCCTTTTGTTTTGCTTTTTAGTTTTTGTAATATATTTAGCTGCTTTTAATGCCAGTGCTTAATTCCTTTATTATTGTTATTTTTAAGCTTTTAAGTTTTGTTAGTATATTTTGATATATTTCAAAGATTGCTGGTCCCCAATGTAGTCAGTGCACATAGAGCGAGGTGCTCACCTCGTGTGCATTGGCATTGGAGGCTCAAAGATAAAGTACGAATCCATGATAGGCTGGCTTTCATTATATTAGCATGACCTTTATTATTATTTTTTTTTTGTATTTGAACGACGAGCTGCATGATTTTTATTTGGTTATAGGCTAAAGAGCTCATCAGAGATCATGTTTTAATTGTTATTATGAACATATGCCAACTTTAAATGCAATTAACTTATTTATTTACTTACTGATATATAATTACATTTGTTTGCAACCAATATGAAATTTCGAATAAAATTAATTAGCCTATCGTTTGTATTCTTTTGATTGTTTTAACGTTGTAACGGACAGCCCGCACAGTCATAGATATTGCCTTTATTTAATAACTGACTCTGTTTTTTTTTTTTTATTTAATTGGTGGTGTAAAAGCGTTTACCGAAGCACATTTTGCGCCCTTCTTACTAAATATGGGCGTACGATCAATGCTTTTACAACCCTATAAAATTACAAAAAGATGCATTCAAATTTTATAATTACATTTATGATGATTTGTATTCTAACCATATAATTACGATTGTATCAAGCTTCTCGTTCGTTTTCCGATGCATTGTTGTGACGTTGTCATGAGAATCATGTTAAGCACGTGCAGTCACGAATTTTGCGTTTATTTGAGAAATAAAATATGATCTTGAAGTGCCTCCTGATTGTTGTTTGCCGATCAAAAGTATGGAATTGTAAGTAACATACATGTAATGTAATTATACGGATATAACATATAACTTTTAGAATGCCTCGTCCAATCAAAATTACTTAAATACTTGTGAAAGACTTAGATTGAACTTTGATAAATCTAATTTTATAACTGTTATGAAATATTGAAATGTGGTATGCATGACTATCAATGAGGCCACTGCATATACGGATTTTATTTTGCTAATCACAGCGTCCACAACGAGAAGACAAAGTACATAACTAAATATAACGCATTAAATCCCCCCCCCCCCCCCCCCCACCAAAAAAAAAGTATCAAAAATAAAGGAGAGATTCTTGCAAAGGAAATACTGAGTAGTCTATTTATTGTAAATGGGAGAATTGATGAAGACGAAGGCAAAATGATAGGAAAGTTAACATGTAATACACTAGCATAGTAGATTATTGTTTAAGTTTTACTGTTTTATAACTTTTTCTGTAATAGTTTATAGTTATTTTTATTCGGATGTCCATTGTGTACTTGCGCATTCTTTGTCGGGGTCATCTTTGGATAGTGTAAAGGAAACTAGTGAAAATCTTAAATATCAAACATTTTCTGAAAAGATTAAGAAATGGTACCAAGAAAAATGTCTAGATTTGAAGAACCAGATTGAACAAGGCAAAGTTGATGAATTAAAGATATTGCTGAACGAAGTTACATGTGTAAACTTATAGACATTAGTAAAACCCACTCGTCGGGCGATAAAACGAAAATTAATACTTAACTTTATCATTTATGTTCAGTATTGTTTTTCTGCGAAATCCACACTAATTGGAACTTTCGAATATTTCAATTCTAAACAAAATGTAAAGCAGAAATTGAGAAAATTTCAAAAAATATGTAAAACGATGATTGTCATTTTGAAAGACAAAACTTTAGAAAACGTTAAAGAAAATTCAAAACAAATAGAACAAATCAAAACTTTCAATACTTCAAAAAGTTATGGATCAAGCTTTTCTCTACCACAAAAGAAATTGGTAAAAGAAAAAAAGAAAAATCATATCAAGTAATTCACTGAAATCCTTGAAAACTATTGAAAAATGGTAAAATTAGGGAGCACCCAAATATTCCTATTAAAAAACTTTTTGAATTTTTGAAAGCGTTAAAGGAGGAATCATTTATGACAAGCACGACTTCAACATACCATATATTGACCCGAACGATATTAATCATCTAAACGAAAGTATCAACAGGAACATTTCAAAAGATGAAAAACAATGAACCCTAATGGGAGGATTTAATTGTAAATACATTATATCAAGTAAATACAAAATATAGTCATATGCTTTCTGTTCCGTGTTCGGTGTGAGCCAAGGCTCCGTGTTAAAGACCGTACTTCGACCTATAATGGTTTACTTTTATAAATTTTGACATGGATGGAGAGTTGTCTCATTGGCACTCATACCACATCTTCTTATATCTATAGACATTTACGAGCAACTAGTTAATGTAATGTATAACAGGCTTTGCCCGTATAGTTGGCTAAGACGGAGTATTTTTCAAAAGCGTCAACATGTTGGATGCATGAGAATGAGTGTATATAAAATTGAGAATGGAAATGGGGAATATGTCAAAGAGACAACAACCCGACCAAAGAGCAGACAACAGCCGAAGGCCACCAATGGATCTTCAACGCAGCGAGAAAATCCCGCACCCGGAGGTGGTCCTCAGCTGGCCCCTAAATAAAATTGTGTAGTTAGTTCAGTGAAAATGGACGTCACACTAAACTCCAAAACATATAAATGAACTAAAATTAAAAAACATACAAGACTAACAAAGGCCAGAGGCTCCTGACTTGGGACAGGCGCAAACATGCGGCGGGGTTAAACATGTTTTGTGAGATCTCAACCCTCCCCCTATACCTTTAGCCAATGTAGAATAAACAAACACGCAGCAATACGCATAGTAAAACTGAGTTTAAAAGAAGTCCGAGTCCGATGTCAGAATAGATAACAAAAGATACTAAGCAAAATGACAATGATACATAAATGAACAAAGGACTACTAGCAGTTACTGACATGCCAGCTCCAGACCTCAATTAAACTGATTGAAAGATTATGTCTTCATCATATGAAAATCAAGTACAATCCCTCCCGTTAGGGGTTTAGTATCATACCATCATAAAATAAAAGAAGAACATAACCCGTATCATGCCAACAACTGGTTTTAGAATAAATGTGTTTATTTCCGATGCAAAGACCCTATGAGTGAGTCAATATTAATACCAACATATGCAATCCTTAATGACTTGACAACAGTATCGTAACTATATCCTTTCCAAATAAGTCTGTTTATAGGTTTGGTTAGCTTTTGAGGTGAATGCCGACATTTTTGTGCTTTGTAAAGAATATTACCATAAAATATTGGATGTGAAATACCTGAACGTATAAGATGTCTGCATGTTGATTTATATTTACGAATGATGTCCTTGTACCGATGATAAAATTTAGTAAATGTTTTGACTAGTTTGTGATATCGAAAACCCTGGTGTAATTATTTTTCAGTAATACCGAGATTTCTTTCGTTGAAATCAAATACGTTGTTACATACACGAGCGAATATAGAGATATATAAACACAACAAGATGGCGACAAGGGAACGTACGTTACCATCTAAAAATGAATAATTAACAATAAGAAATGAAAAATCATCTCTTTTATCATAAAATTTGGTATTTAGCTTCCCGTTAAAGATAAAGATATCAAGATGCAAGAAAGGGCAGTGTTCATTGTTAGTATTAACTTTATTTAAAGTCAGTTCGGCAGGATAAATCTCTTTAGTGTACATACTGAAGTCGTCATTATTGAGAGACAATATATCATCTAAATATCTAAAAGTGTTATTAAATTTTTGAATCAG